GGGGGCGGGGCCCGCCCCGCGGGGCCCGGGGGTCGCTCCGGGCGCAGCTGCCGCGCCGGTTGCGCTGCCGGGGGCAGACGGACCCTGGTGTTTCCCCGCCGCCTCCGCGGGATGTGGTTGTGCCACAGGCTGAGCCGCACCCGAAGGGACACGTCCCTGCTCCTCAGCTGGCCCGTGGAACAGCGGGGTTCCTGCCGCCGGTTAACGTGGGCGGACAGATGGAACGGTTTAGCAGCGGGCCCGTGTCGGTGAGAAACACCAGGGAAGCGCCGCTCTCCGTGTTGCTCTGACGTTTGATGCTGTGCAGGGCTCCTGATGAACGCGTGGCCGCAGGAACTGCAGCTGAGCGATGTGTGCGGAGTATTTTGGGAGGACTAACTAAGTCACTGGGCTGGAGTTCAGCAGCTGCATGAGAATGGTTAATCGTGAGCATTTTCACATGGACAAAATATTTTGTGACCTTTTCTCTGCCTGGCCGCCTACAGTGTCTTCCATGGACAAGCCCCACACACGAGGGCAAAGCAAGTGTCCTGTGTATTGGCTGATATGCACAGTAAATGGCTGGCACTAACAGAGTACTAGGCTGAGTATTAACGTGCCCACCTCCCACCTTTCCTCCCATCCCATCCCTGCCTCCCTCCTGGCTGGCAGTGGTCAGGCAGTTTTGCCTGTAAAAAGGCAAAACCCTCATTATTACAGAGTTGCTGTCTTCCAGCTTTTTATCTCAGGGTTTTATACCCGTCCTGTGTTTTCCTCACAAATCCTTGAGTTACTATTACTGAATTTCCATTCGGTGTTCTCACTACCATTCTTCTCTCGTGTTGCTTTAGCCTACAGAGTCTCACTAATAACAGCATTTTTTAAATCATTTTTTTATCAGTAAGTTGAGGATCATTGGATGGGTTACCAACACTGGACCACGCACATTAGAAAGGATAATGTTCCGCAAAGAAAATTATGATAAAAGAAGAAAAGTTAAAAGATAGGAGTTTCGTTTATGACCAATAATCAAAAATCTCATACTTCTGAGATGAGGGTTGTGCATACCTCCTTTTGCTTAGTTCAGTCAAGAAATGAAAGCATCAGTAAGAAACAGAAAACCAAGATTAAACTGATGGAGAATGGGGTAAATAGGCAGGAAGTAGCATCGATTTTAGGACTGAAGTAGAAAAATGCATAAAGAAGATAAAATCATACAGGAAAATTCAGTGTACAGCTCTTGTAGCAGCTACCACTCTGTACGTGTTACTGAAGAAAACAGGCCTCCAACTCCTTTGGTGGAATCCCAAAGTTGTATCTGCCCATATTCCCAGCAAAAGGTCTGGAAAAACTCAAAGTGATTCAAGTCAGTAATTCTTTACAAATGTCAGAATTTCTTCCTCCAAGTCATTGTAATATTTCTATTTGTCTATGTTTAACATATGAGTAATAAGAAAGAATGGTGAGATGTTGTGGCATTCAGGATGTACAGTGCTTGTCTCGAACAGTCCAAGAGATAAGCTTGAACTTTGGCACTCAGGATATCTGTTGTCTGTCTTGTGGCATCTGAGAGTTCAACTACGTCTGCTGATGAACTAAAGGGATGTCTCAGCAACCCACCCAACCCCCTCCTGCAAGGAGTACCTGAGAACTGGGGAGTTTCATGTGGGACATGCTGAGACTGGAGACAAAGGAGTTCTACAGCTGGCGCTGGGAGCAGAATATCCAGTGATAACCAGGCCTTGATATGGAAACCACCGACTTTGCAGGACAAGACAAGGAGTGACAGTCTCAAGCTACTTCCTAGGACTGAAACTCCACCCAAGGAACTAATCCTGTGGTGGCAGTTGACTCAACCCCCTCCTCTGTAATGGCTGATCTCATCAATCAGCCAAACAAAGTCTACATAGCCCCTGGCATCCTACCTGCCCCTGCTATCACAGAGAAGATCCGAAGGGTTTTTCCCTATGCAGGGAGAGAAGTGGGGGTGCAGTGGGCAAGGACTGTATAAAAATCTGGGACTCTGTGGGTGCACAGTAGCACCTCTCCACCTGGAACTTCTTCCCCACTGATGACATCGACGGCATCGCTGGACCGTGGGTGGTAACTCTGCTCTCGCTTGCTGTCCTCTATCTCTCTGCTTTCTCCTCTCTTTTCTGTCTCTGTTTTCCTCCTTGTCCTATCCGCTCTAGGGACTTTTGTTGTGTTATTGCAATAAAAGTTTGTTGTGTGCGTGACATCTGACCTCGTTTGTGTCTTAATTTCACCATTTGGGATCACCTTTATTTATTAAAATTGCCACGTACCCGAATACCGGATGGTGACAGATGTCCTCAGTAGCTCCCCTGGTTCCAGTGACAGAGTTCTCCTTGTGTAGCCATTAGGAGTGAACAGCACATGCACTGCAGCTGAAGTGCATGCTGGTGTGTGTACTGTTCTTAAATTTGACTCAAAGGAAATAGAGACTCAGTTTCTGTTAAGCAGTCACAGTCTCGGTGAGATCAAAATAGCTCTTTTTACAAATGTGTCACAGTTTGACTTCGGATCGGCAATTAACAGGAGACAACAACGCACTCCATCCCCTCCCACCCGAGTAGGGAAGGAGAGAGAGAACAAGGAGGGTTGTAGATATTACTCTTCTGCTCCTTTAGTGTCCAAAGTAGTAGATTCAACAAGCAAAGCAAAGTGTCCTTGGTGTCTCAGCAGTATCTATAAACATCCCAGTGTTATCAGTCTACTAACTGGAAAAATTGCTGCTAGTTTCAGCCAGTGTGCTGCTTAAAACAGAGTTCACTAAAGAAAAAAAAAATAATTAAAAAATCAGTACAAGGAAAATTGGCTTCATCCTGGCTCAAACCAGGACAAAATGTTATTTATGGAAAGGAGTTGTAAGACCCCTAAGAGTAAGAGTAAACAAGCTCAGCCTTAATTTTATGGAGTGTAAGTGATACCCCAAGACATATTTAGAAATTGCTAATTCTTCTACTAAAACTAAAGGAACCTATGTTATTTATGCAAAACCATAAATGCTATGTGTTGGAAAGGCAAAAGCCTGTAGAAATACACCAGAACAACAAGGTCAGATTTGTCTTAGCAGCAATTATATGTGACAACAAGCTTAACGTAACAGTGAAGTGAGAAAGAGAGTTGGGGTGGGTTTTTTTTTTACAGTTTAAAGATGATGCAAGTAGGTGCTCACATTTTCTTTTGGGAAAGAAGGACTTTGGCCTGTTTTTCTAAACTACAAATTTAAATGTGTATATTCGCAAACCCTACAAAACAGACCATTAGGTCTGTTACATTAAAGCCACACTTAACCCAGCTAATCAAGCAGTGCCCAGATTTTGGGAGAACTTTGGCATTAATGCAGCGTCTTGTTAATTACAGCTCCAGGTGGTCAGGGAAGAACAGGATGCAGCTGTTAATAACTGTTAATAACGCTGAATGTCTAAATGCTTTCTTTTGTGCTGATAAACTGCTTATTGACTGTTTTTTAGTAGCATTTTGTTATAAAAGTCAACAGATTATTAGAGAAGGCACCTATTTTTCCTTACAGGTTTTGAGTACTAGAGCCCACATAAGATATGGTGGCTTGAAATTTCACTCCAGGGAAGTTGAACCAAATTACATTTGTAGAAAGGAACTAAGTTTTACCCAAAAATAGCCTGTGATCTGATAGAAAGTAGCTCTAAGTTACAGCTCATCCTGTGTTTTTCATCACTAGCATCCTCCCTCCATCTGGGCCTTACTTGTGTTGCTATGAAATTGGCAACACTTTAGCAGCGAGCTGCTGTTTATAAGAAGGGATCCGCACTGCTAAAAGAAGCCAGTCCTTGGGATTACTCACTGCTTGCCTTGTGAGCTGCTCCAGGGAATTTATTGAAGAACTATGTC